GTTACACAGCTCAGCGCCCATGACTCCTTAGAAAATATAACTGCCAGTCCGCCAAATACAACTTAAAAAAAAAAAAAAAAAAAAAAAAAAAAAATCTTAAACCTATACTTCGCTTGCCAAAATATAAACAATACACCTTTTAAATTAAAATACATATTTCCCCCCTCCCCCCATATCCATCGTTTTACTCTTCGACTAGACATTAGTGATTAATATAAAGTAACTTGAAGGGATTTTGTGTTCACATTTACCGGCCATGATGTGGACATACACATCTTATTACATACTCTTCTTATAAATGGTCTAAATTCAATTAAAAACTTTCTAGCTAACATTTTAATGACATTTCAACGAAAGCTACTCAAAAGAAAACACCTTTACATACACGCATGCCATTGTTTAAGCACACTCCTTTGCTCTTTTCCAAATTCTGACACTGCTCTGTCTTGGCTTTATGACTCTTCGACTATTCTCAATTTTACCATTAGACCCTCCTGCTGCTCCCCTGCCATCCTCGAGCTGCTTTCTTGTTCCTGCATTTCACTCATCTGCCACCTGCTCCTCACTGCAAAAAGAAAATCTGCTTTGTACAGTAAATGTCCTGACCATACAGTATACCCTTTTATCTTGGTGAATAGGAACTGGTTACCTTTCAGTAACATTTGTTTTTCTGGTTTCTCTCATTTCATAAACACTGGAGGTCAAAGTTGTGGACAGCTGCTGCAGGCAGAGGCCATTCACTACTATACAGAGTAAGGATAATGCCAGGCAAATTAAGTTAATAAAAGCAACTAAAAAAAAAAAAACACACTGAATTAGTGGTGATATTAGAAATCTTATTATCCAGGATTTTTTTGCAAATTGCAAAAGAGACTATTGAGACTATTTCCTTGGCACAATGCCAACATTCATTAAATAACAAGAGCACTTTAGACATATTGACTACATTTATCATAATGGTAATGTTTTCCTCAAATAGTTAAAACATTCAGCAACAATAAGGACAATAACTGCCAGATTTATTGACATGGAAAACAGCCCTTAGAGTAGCAGCATGTTGAACTTGGAACCTACTGACATGCGTAGCTTTCTCAAGATCACTGGCTGAGTTTTGGTTTCAGTGATTGAATCATATGTTATTGCTGTGAAATATATTATGCAAAGATGATAGTGAGAAAAGAGGAGACTGTGGATGTCTGTGTTGAGCTCCAGACAACTCTCTGAGCTTCTTATCTAGCCGTGCAACCTGGCCGGATGGCATTCTCTTGGCACACCATCCTTGAGACTCACCACTTGGCTTGTGGCCCAGGGATATTTGGCTTGTGCATAACAGAATCACCCCATCCCCTTAATACCCTACTTTACCTCTCTCTCTCTCTCTCTTACTGGTTGGCTACTTGCCCATAAGGACAACTGCAGTGCTTTGTGTTGCCTTGCAGGTCTCTTTATACTGGCTTCATGGCCATGGCTGGTGAGGAGACAGTGCCATGATAGCTGCAGACAACCAAACAATTATGCAACAAAGTCAGTCACTGCAAGATGGTGTTTTGTGACACATGTGGCCCCATCATCTGTGACTTATCAAGGCACCGGTGTAATTCAATTGTAGGGACGGCCTTGGGTGGTGGAGAATCAGGGGACATACAACTGCTTATTATCCACCTCTCCAACTGTCCATAAAATTGATGGCTTACTCTCAGTGGCATCGCGTTGACATTGTGTTGAATGTCCTGTGTCTGCCCTGGTTAATTGAACACAGAATTACCCTATTTGGACACACTTAAAAGAACAGAGCTAAACGAACGTAGACGATAGAGAAGGAGATCAGAGTTGACCTCTGGAAAACACTCCATAGACAAAAGCCAGAGTGTCTAAAGAGGTAGTATGGACATTTTAGAGTGTGTGAAATGATGGCACTGCAAAGTACATACAGCAGAGAAGACCCTGTGGCTCTTCCTAATATAGTGTTCTACGCAGAACCACTATATTTTTTCATGATTGGTATACAGCGGTATTTCCAGGACTCTGGTTTGGAACGAAGGGAAGGACTGCATATCTGAGATTATTTAATTAGATTAACAAGAGGTTAAATATGGGACAGTAGGGCTTAGTCGCTAGGCACACTGAAAGAGGTTAAAGTTGACCCATTTTAAATGTTTCAAGCACATGCGTATATACATAGATTTGCTGATCATCTTACAAAAATGTTGGTAGATGACCAAAATGGATTTAGAAAAGGTAGAGCACGTAT